TTGGAATGCTTACGAAATGTAGAAACGACCCAGCACAGAGAAGGTGCCCCTATCTGCTGCTACACTGATGGGCCATGAAGATTAACCAACAGCGGGACTGTGGTCACCAATCTCAAACCGTGGACCAACACAGGAGTACCACTGCCCGCTTTGACTTTTCTCCGGCAGCGTTTCAGATATTTCTCAACTGAACTATTGACAATAACAATTTCGTTTATAGTTTTAAAACACCTGGAACTGCACTTGATCTCGTAAAATCCTGAAAGCTAAGCACGATTGAGCCTGGACAGTGCTTGGATGGGTGACCACCATGCACACGGCAGGCTGTACAATACAACTGCGGGACTGTGCAAACATATAGAATTGTTGTTCTGTAGTATGCTCCCCCGCCTTCACCAACCAGCATCGACCAGCGTGGTGAAGTATGGCCAAACAACGTCGATGATTTACCCAAGCGTGGGTAGATCACAGGAGTGGAAGTGTGTGGGCAAAGGTGCATGTGGACATGTACACGATATACTATTCAAGACATTTTTTTTTATTTTACCAGTTAAGGCCATGTGAGCTATATATCTATTTTTGAGAAACGACCTGGCCACAAATGATAGCCCATCAAAGTGGCTTATCATGTGGACATTTATAGCAGCCGATTACTCCAAACTCGTGACGTTGATTCTAAATGTGGGGGGACAAACTAGAGGATCCGGAGGAAAAAAAAATCCACACACCCACAGGAAAAGAGAACATGCAAAACTCCAAATACACAGGAGTCAGGGTCGGGATCGAACCCACGACCTCCTGCATACCAGGCGGGGTAGTTAACATCTCTCAGCCACCGCGGTCCCCAGTTCCACCACGAGGCTGCTCCTCCTGAAGCCGTCCACAGGCTTAATCTCCCACCTCGACACGGGTGTAATAGACGTTGCTGCTCAACTCCCTCCATCCATATGGGAGTCGGGCAGAAGTGTCCAAGCGAGTCTCTGGGTCTCCGTGGTATAATTCTCTGAATTTCAACGCGAGTCTATACGTCTCAAACTTTGGATCACCTAAGCGACGCCACTGCCCCCGCTTCCATTTTCCGTCGTCAACCTCAACGCGGACACAAAAACGCTGTCGATCAACCTCCGCACCAGACGAGAGGAGAAGTCGGACGGATGGACAAGATTTAGAGAAGTCGGACAGATGGACAAGATGCTACAGAACCCGACGTCAGAGGGCAATGTAAGGACTCGCCCCTTGTGCAATGCAACAAGCTGCCAAACTTGTGGGAGGGGTGGGGGTCACGATTCCATTTAAGAATAAATAATATTTCGTAGCTTCTCGTCGTATATTGCCTGCCTCTTATCTGAAGCCTTGCTTATTTAGTCTTGTTCATGCCAAGAGCCTTAAAGGCGCAGCCATATGAGCACACTGTTTGCATATAATTTGCGCGACCCCCTTCCGCCCCGAGGGTTACGCACGCACTACAGCAGAGCGCTCGCGAGAAAAAGCGCAACTTTCCGTAGCGAAGCCGCCTCCGCCGCCGTTCGTCATGACCGCCTGGAAAGCTGCCCACACGGGTTGTCCTTGAAATAACGGACAATCAGCAAAACACTCAGTTTAACACGTAGTAGACTTCCGCAAACAATATCATCCATAATCCAGGTTTTTTTGGGGGGGGGGGTTAGATCGCGTAAATATATAAATGTGTTCAGGGGCGGAGCCAGGATTTCAGGCCGGGGTGACATTCAACAAATTTTAATTTCAAGAATGATTAAGAGAAGAGAGTCAGGCTGTTGAAACTAGACGCCATCGGTTGGCGACACGCTCTGACAATGCAGTTGCACGGAGTCCGCTAGACCGAGTGTCGTACACTTATACAGCAGAATGTCACCCCTGTCACCCCCCCCCTGGCTCCGCCCCTGAATGTGTTGTTAAGCCCGCCACCACCCATCGCAGCCAAAATAGTAAGGTTTTTCACGTAAAATAGAACGTGACAATTCGTTAGTAGTACAGCAGCACATCAGTGTGTTGGAAAGCAAAGCCACATTTACAATCCGAGCAAAATACTACGGGGGCTTCAACCGAGGGGTGGGTGGGAGGGCGTGTTAACCTTGAACATTAAAAAATAATTGGAACAATTTAAAATCGTGCTCTCTGGAGAGCTCAACCGTTAAGACAGCGGATGTTTGTTAAGCCAACTGGGCCAGGATTGAGCAAAACCTATCCCCCCCCGCCACCACCTTTTTCAGCCAAGCGACTGCAGAGCAGCACAGGCAAAAGTCAGCCGCGCTGTGCGCATGTTGAACTTCTTCCGCACAACACACACAGCCAACCGTGCCCGCTTGCTGTTTGCCTACATCTCCACGGCACCGTGCTGGAGCCGGTCACGACGCTTTCTCTTTGCGTTGCATATGCTTTCACGACCACTGTGCACGATTCATGACGAGTTTCTTCTGGGTTAGATCGTGTAGGTATAATGTCGATTATTTAACTATAATCCCCCACCCATGCACCCACCACCCGACAGAGCCAATCAAATTAAGTTGTCACGTGATGGGCAAATATGCCACTTGATTTGGCATGTCAGTAAACTGTAATGTTTAAAAAGGGGGCGAAATATTGACAGTTTTACAAAACACATTAAATGGGTTGGCTCTGTCAGGTGACAGAGGGTTATAAAAAATGGCATTATACCGACATGATCGAACCCAATATGAACGAATTATGACCAACTTATTTTTGCTTCCTTCCTAGTAACTGCTCCACTTGGGAATGTCCTCCCATCATCTCCATTTTGTCTAAGTTTCTTATAGCCCTGCTCAATTCAAGAAACCGACTTAATTACACCTCGAGTCACACCTTCAAGAGTGTCGTTTCTTGCAGCCCACTTGGCACTGTGGAACTTTCGACCTATGCTCTTGACAAACGTAACTTTAAAAAAATATAACCTGAACTCCCGATGCAGGGTGAGGAGGTACAACGCACGGGGTGTGGGGAGGCAATGGACGGGGGCAATACTGCAGGAACTTCTTGGGACATTACCATCAGCTTCCTGAAAAACAGTTGCTGATGAAGCTCCCAGCACCTGCAGCGGAACGTCAGACATAATGCCAAACCACACGTGGCATAACCCGATAACACAAGCGGGAGAGCGACAGCAGGATTGTTTCACAGTCCTTGGTCAATCCACTGCTGGATGAAGGCCTCCGCACGCCACTGATATTAGCCGTGGATGCGAATCGAACTTAGGTTACCAGGGTTCACTGCCCTGAGAAAATAGCGATGCAGGATAATTGTGCAGGGTGCCAATGCATTGTTACAATGAAGATGGCGATACATATTTCTACAGATCTCGGTCACAGTGCAGTGTGCCGATGGATGCTAATGTAATGATGAATGGAAATTGTGCAGGGTGCTGAAATATCGGATTCTGCAGGGTGCTGATGCATGGGAATCCTGCAGGGTGTGAACGTATGAAATTCTGCATGGTGTTGATGCGTGGGATTCTGTATGATGCTTGCTGATGCACGGAAATTCTGCATGGTGTTGATGCGTGGGATTCTGTATGATGCTGATGCACGGAAATTCTGCATGGTGCTGATGTGTGGTAAAGGTGGACGATGATGTTGAAGCCTGCTCGTGGTGCAGGGTGCCGCCGGTGCATCGGAATGTAATAATAATGCATGGGAATTACCCATTGGGAATTCTGCATGGGAATGCTGCTGCTGGGTGTTACGAGGCCATTTAATGGAGTGTCACCCCCCCCCCCTTTCTCCTTACCATCTCCCCCTAAATGCTGGGCGCCCCGGTGCGCCCTGCACAATAGAAACTGCAGCATTAGCGGGTAGCAGCAGCAGCTGAGCGGACAAAGCAGCAGCCGAGACAATGCGAACCCACCGTGCGATGGCGATGGGGTACCCCACAAGCGGTGGGGGAGCTCGCGAGGGACGCTCTGAGAGGCCCGCCACGCGTCCGTCGCGACCCCCCCCCTTCTCTCACCTCCAATTCGGTCCCCCCCCCTCACCTCTAGCACCTTAAAACAGATTTTTTTTCCTCTCTCTGCCCTTAACTTGAGCACCGCTATGAATGATAAACTTAAAGTGGGATTCGTACACTTAAGCGGGAACGCGTGCCATCATTTCATGCGACAAGAGCAATTGTACCAGGACGAACAATACAAACGTTTCGAAAACCCAAGAAGCCACGGGGGGGAGCGGTGGCGCAGCGGTTAGCGCACATCACCACCCATCGACAACTCGCAACATCGCCATGCACACACCTGTATACAAAGAAAATACGACACCGTGCATCACAATCTCCCGAATCTCCCTTGGGGGAACGGTGGCGCAATCGAGGTGTTAGCGCACTGCGCTGTGACCCCGGTTGACCCGAGTTCCATTCCCGATCACGGCTAACATCAGTGGCGAGTTACATCTGAGCCGTTCACCGAGTGCGTGGTCAAACAACCACCACGGTTGACAGCGTGGGGGGGAGAGAGGGCCTTCACCTCGCAGTCGACTGGACAAAAGGGGTGTACGTTAAAATACAAATACTGTGTTTACAAAAAATATATATGTAAGGCACAGTTACGGTGACCCTGACTCACAGTTTAATCAAAACCGACCTGACCCCGACGCCACTGGCATGGGATTTCGGTGAGCAGAGGAAGGAGCAAAGGAGACTCTTAACGCGACCCTAACGCGGTCTATTATACTCGAGCTATCGAGTGTCAACAACCCGGGTGTCGAGGACCCCTGGCACACCAAGACGGCGTGACCCGACTCGAACGCAGCACACCGCTTGACTAGGTGGTGGGGGGGGCACAACCCACATTAGTTGACCCAATGCCGCGCCGGCTACTCCACCAGCAAGTTATCCCGCATCTGAACTTAGCACCAACGAGCCGAGCCACATCTCACCGACCCGAACACGGCACGGTCGACCTAACCTGACCCACGCTGCCATAATTTCCCCACCTCACCCCCATCCTCCGCGACCCGGCCCCTCGTGTTCCCCACCTGCTCCTCCAGCCGCTGCACCTCCGCTTCCTTCTCACTTTCGTCCGTCTCGGACTCCGAGTCAGAGTCGGTGCCGGGCCCCGCTGCGGGCCCCGCGGACCCGGCCTCGGACCCACTCTCCGCCTCCATCTCCTCCATCTCCTGTTCGTCCTCCTTCTCCTGCTGCTGCTGCTTCTGTTCCTTCCCGGGCAGCTCCTCTCGTTCCTGCTCCGCCATGGGGATCACGACCTCGGCAGTCCCCTCCCCCTGCCTCCCTCCTCCCCTTATATTTTCCCGGGAGCGGGCGGTCTCCGGGTGTGTAACGGGTTGAGAGCTCGACGTTCCTCGTGCGGTGTCGGGGATATCCTGGCTCCGGGCTCAAGGCCCGTGGCTCAGAGCTCTGAAACCCAGCGCTTCCTGCCTTTAGGGTCCGGGTGCTTTGCGGGGATTCAAGGCTGATTTGGGGGAGGGAGAGGGTTCGGAGTCCGACGACGCCGTCTCGAATCCCACGGCTTCTTGGCTGGGGGGGTTCAAGTCGGTGGCTCTTGCCCGCAAGTCCTCGCGAGGCCCCGCGCTGAACCCCCCCCCGCTCCAGCGGCAGTAGTCCCCGGACTCGGAGCGAGACGCAGTCGAGGGCGCAGCGCAGCCGAGAGGCGGCGCCACGTGCGCTGGGCGCGCGTCACAGGCTGAAGCCGCGCCTCGGCCATCTTGTGTTGTCTCCGCTTTCATTTATTGGGCGGGGGGGGGCAGTGGGGTGGGGCGAGATGGGCGGGGGGGGAAGGTGGGGGCAAGGGGCCAGGGCGGGGCGGTCCCGCCGCTCCCCTTCTGGTGACGTCACCGAAGCAGCTCTCGAAATGTAAATCAACGGGAGCCCCCACCACCACCACCTCCCCACGCAATATGGCGCCCGAACCGGCCTCGCACCGAATCACGTGACGGCGCCTCTGGGCGGGCGCGCACTCGCTGAGTGTGGGTGGGGGTGTGGGTGGCCGGGGGGGGGGGAGACCCCGCGCATAGCGACTCGAATTCCCACCGCGCACGGGCGGCGCAGGGCCCGGACCGCGATCTCCCATTGGTCGAGAGGCTCGGCGGGCGGCGGGTTGGTCGGTGGGTGCAGATCGAGCCAATCGCGTGCGGGGTACCGTCCCCCCCCCCCACGACCACCTTCCCCCGCCCCCCTGGCGCGCGCGCGTTCCGCGGGCCAATGGCGTGCGGCGGGGGCGCTTATGCGCGTTAGGGAATTTGGCGAGGCGGCGGTGGCGGCAGTGGAAGGCGGGAAAGTTGTTGAGCATGGAGGCGGAGGAGCAGCAGGCGCGCCACTATCAGCTGCTGGGGCAGCTTCAGCTGCGCCTCAGAGAGCTGCCCAGGTGAGCGGGGCAGCCGGCAGGGCCCATTACCGCGGCGGGATTGTTTACGTTTGGGGGGGGAAAGGGGTGAAGTGGCGGCCGTGTAAGGCGATTCGATTTTCGCGATTCGTGTCATAGTTTGATCGCCTCTGGAATCGGGAATCTCTGTTCTTTGGTGTTTCTTCTTGTGTCTCGCTTGTTTGGCGATGTCAATTCAATAGGCGCATATACGTAGGATTTGCGTGAATTGAAATAGTTTTCGTAAGTCCCGTAGCATTTTGCAATGCGAGAATCGCGCGAATACCAGAAATAGAAGAAAAAAACCATGTAAACCCTGTCACCACTTGGAAGCGACACATTTGCTCGCGTCTAATGGGGCACTCACTTGGCACAGTGCGTTGAGGGGATGTCGATGATGGCTGTAGTAATAGTGACGGTGTGTGTGTGACACCCTCACGGGTTATTGACTCACACGGCACCTCTGCTGGTGCAGTGTACCACCATCTAGAAGCAAGCGTTGTTGACATAAGGGGCGCCGTGGTGGCTAGGAGATGTTAACTGCCTCGCCTGGTGTGCAGGAGGTCGTGGGGTTGATCCCGACCCTGATGCCTGCTGCTGTATATTTGGAGTTTGCGTCTCATCATCATCATCATCACGGTGGCTAGGAGATGTTAACTACCTCGCCTGGTATACAGGAGGTCGTGGGTTGGATCCCGACCCTGATGCCTGCTGCTGTATATTTGGAGTCTGCGTGTCTCTCTCATCATCATCACGGTGGCTAGGAGATGTTAACTACCTCGCCTGGTGTGCAGGAGGTCGTGGGTTCGATCCCGACCCTGACGCCTGTTGCTGTATATTTGGAGTTTGCGTGTCTCTCTCATCATCATCACGGTGGCTAGGAGATGTTAACTACCTCGCCTGGTATACAGGAGGTCGTGGGTTGGATCCAGACCCTGACGCCTGCTGCTGCTGTATATTTGGAGTTTGCGTGTCTCTCTCTCCCCGTGGTTGCGTGGATTTTTCTCCGGGTTCTCTGGGGTTTCCCTCAACATTTAGAAACATGCACTTCGAGTATTTGACAGCGATACATTTCCACATGATATCCACTTTGTCGGGCTATCATCTGTGGCCAGGTCGCTTCTGAAAGAGCTATACAGCTTGGTGGACCTTGCCTAGTAAAATAAAATAGGTTTAGTCAAGAGTGATCATCCTATGGATCGACTGGCCCCCGCCAAGGGAATGTGGAATGTCCACCACCGATTCGGGTCTCCCAAGGGAGATGAGCGCCACCCCATTTCTAGAGTGTTGTCAAATTTTACTTTGAGGAATAAAACAAATTGGCCAAACGCCCGAAGCTAGGCACTCGCAAGAAGGAATAATATTGAGACCCCATGAGAGTTGCAAAGATAAATGTCTGTTTTAAAAAAAGCATTTGCCCCCGAAAATCTCGACACGTTTTGAGGATGTTTGGCTAATTTTTTTCTAAGTACTGAAGCAGAGGTCAGCCCAGAGCAAAATCGAATTTTGCTCTGGGCTGACCAAGTCGTACTAATCAGCAGTCGCACTAATCAGCAGACCAATTCGCACTAATCAGCAGGGTGGTCAAATAACCTCGTCGCGAATGGCGTGCGGTGTTGGCCATCCATCAGTGGATTTACAAAAGGGCTGTACATATACAAAATGCACACCTGTCTGTCAACTCATACGGTTTACCCATATTCTTGTACAGGGAAAGTGAGTTTTCAGGTCCATATGGCATCCAGCTGTTTCAATACGGGCTTTGTAGGATAAACGTCGAGATTTACAAGGGCATGGGGTAACCAATGCGGTCTGAATTGGTCTGTAATAAGTTAGGCAATGATAAGGGGTTGACAGCTATGAAAATGCATCTCATCATAATTCATAATTAACCAGTATTTACATCTCGATGTTTTTATTTCTGGGTTGCCTTCAGTTTTGTAACTTTTTTAGTCAAAATGTAACTCGGCTGCAGCATCCCACGTGAAAGTTCTGCCGGCGTGTCCCTGCGGTCGCAGTGTCTACCAGCAGCGGCTGACGTACGACATGCTGAGCGACTTGGCGCTGGCGCTCATTGACGGTACCGTCTACGAAATCGTACAGGGCCTCAAAGACATCCAACAGCTGACGGAGAAGAACCTCTACAGCCAGCGACTCAAGCTGCACAACGAGCACCGGGGTAGCTGCTGACACTGCCAGTACTGAGTTAAGGGGGGGGGGGGGGTGCGCTTCCTCGTGTCTGTTGATGAGTGTTCAGTTCACTTACTTTGTTTACGTAATACAGTCTGTTCTCCTATACAGTAAAACCTTGGATTGCGAGCATAATTCGTTCCGGGAACGTGTTTGTAATCCAAAGCACTCGTATATCAGTTGTGATCACGTGACGCTCGGCAGACAAAGCGTATACGTACTACTCGTATTGCAAGACCTCGCTCGTTTATCAAATTAATATTTATTTAACATTTTTGCTCGTCTTGCAAAACACTCGCAGACCAAGTTACTCGCAATCCAAGGTTTTACTGTAATGCCGTAGTTGCGTTCCTAAAGAACAGCGTTATGGGAAAATGGCGTTATAAGAAATAATATATAATACGTGGTAGAGCACAGTCCGCGATAACACGTGAGATGCGTACGCAGGCTGAACAAAGTCTGGGGTTGCATGTGGGAAGCATCCACCAGCATCCCACCTTGTGTGATGCAGCCGTACAACCGCTTATTCGTATTTGCGCGACGTTGTTCTGTTCACTTACAGTGAGGGAAAAAAAGTATTTGATTCCCTGCTGATTTTGTACGTTTGCCCACTGAAAAATAAATGATCAGTCTATAATTTTAATGGTAGGTTTTTTTGAACAGTGAGAGACAGAATAACAAAAAAATCCAGAAAAACGCATGTCAAAAATGTTATAAATTGATTTGCATTTTAATGAGGGAAATAAGTATTTGACCCCCTCTCAATCAGAAAGATTTCTGGCTCCCAGGTGTCTTTTATACAGGTAACAAGCTGAGATTAGGAGCACTCCCTCTAAGAGTGTGCTCCTAATCTCAGCTCTGCCTCTAAGAGTGTGCTCCTAATCTCAGCTCGTTACCTGTATAAAAGACACCTGTCCACAGAAGCAATCAATCAGATTCCAAACTCTCCACCATGGCCAAGACCAAAGAGCTCTCCAAGGATGTCAGGGACAAGATTGTAGACCTACACAAGGCTGGAATGGGCTACAAGACCATTGCCAAGCAGCTTGGTGAGAAGGTGAACAGTTGGTGCGATTATTCGCAAATGGAAGGAACACAAAAGAACTGTCAATCTCCCTCAGCCTGGGGCTCCATGCAAGATCTCACCTCGTGGAGTTTCAATGATCATGAGAATGGTGAGGAATCAGACCAGAACTACACGGGAGGATCTTGTCAATGATCTCAAGGCAGCTGGGACTATAGTCACAAAGAAAACAATTGGTAACACTACGCCGTGAAGGACTGAAATCCTGCAGCACCCGCAAGGTCCCCCTGCTCAAGAAAGCACATATACATGCTCGTCTGAAGTTTGCCAATGAACATCTGAATGATTCAGAGGACAACTGGATGAAAGTATAGTGGTCAGATGAGACCAAAATGGAGCTCTTTGGCATCAACTCAACTCGCCGTGTTTGGAGGAGGAATGCTGCCTATGACCCCAAGAACACCATCCCCACCGTCAAACATGGAGGTGGAAACATTATGCTTTGGGGGGTGTTTTTCTGCTAAGGGGACAGGACAACTTCACCGCATCAAAGGGACGATGGACGGGGCCATGTACCGTCAAATCTTGGGTGAGAACCTCCTTCCCTCAGCCAGGGCATTGAAAATGGGTCGTGGATGGGTATTCCAGCATGACAATGACCCAAAACACATGGCCAAGGCAACAAAGGAGTGGCTCAAGAAGAAGCACATTAAGGTCCTGGAGTGGCCTAGCCAGTCTCCAGACCTTAATCCCATAGAAAATCTGTGGAGGGAGCTGAAGGTTCGAGTTGCCAAACGTCAGCCTCGAAACCTTAATGACTTGGAGAAGATCTGCAAAGAGGAGTGGGACAAAATCCCTCCTGAGATGTGTGCAAACCTGGTGGCCAACTACAAGAAACGTCTGACCTCTGTGATTGCCCACAAGGGTTTTGCCACCAAGTACTAACTCATGTTTTGCAGAGGGGTCAAATACTTATTTCCCTCATTAAAATGCAAATCAATTTATAAAATTTTTGACATGCGTTTTTCTGGATTTTTTTGTTGTTATTCTGTCTCTCACTGTTCAAATAAACCTACCATTAAAATTATAGACTGATAATTTCTTTGTCA